TTTGTGTTTTAAGGGATAACAGTATGAAACCACTTTGACAGCAGGTTAGTAAGTTTACACAGAAACTTTTTTTTTTTTTTTGAGACAGTTTTACTCTTGTTGCCCAGGCTGGAGTGCAATGCCATGATCTCAGCTCACCGCAACCTCTGCCTCCTGTGTTCAAGGATTCTCCTGCCTCAGCCTCCCAAGTAGCTGGGATTACAGGCATATGCCACTATGCCCAGCTAATTTTGTATTTTTAGTAGAGACAGGGTTTCTCTATGTTGGTCAGGCTGGTATGGAACTCCTGACCTCAGGTAATTAAACTGCATTCGCTTCCCAAAGTGCTGGGATTACAGGTGTGAGCCACCCGTGCCCGGCAACAAAAACTTTTAAAGTTTTACATTACAATGATAATAAGCATGAATCATTAAGAAATAGTTATCATTGTTTACTATATTTTAAGTATGGGGAAATGAGTACTTTTTTAACAATCTCTATGTTAAATGGTTAAAGTTTATTATTTATATTTATTTTTATTATTTTTTTTGAGACAGAGGCTGCAGTACAATGGCACAGTCTTGGCTCACTGCAACCTTCATCTCCTTGGCTCAAGCCATCCTCCCACCTCAGCCTCCTGAGTAGCTGGGACTACAGGTGTGCACCATCACACCTGGCTAATTTTTGTATTTTTTGTAGAGATAGGGTCTCACTGTGTTGCCAGGGCTTGTCTCAAACTCCTGAGCTCAAGTGATCTCCTGCCTTGGCCTCCTGAAATACTGGGATTATAGGTATGAGCCACAACTGGGCTGAAATGGTTAAAAGCTTTCTTTTTTTTTTTTTGAGACAGAGTCTGGCTCTGTTGCCAGGCACCAGGCTGGAGTGCAGTGGTGTGATCTTGGCTTACTGCAACCTCCGCCTCCCGGGTTCAAGCAATTCTCCTGCCTCAGCCTCCCAAGTAGCTGGGACTACAGGCGCGGGCCACCACGCCCAGCTAATTTTTGTATTTTTTAGTAGAGATAGGGTTTCACCATGTTGGCCAGGATGGTCTCAGTCTCCTGATCTCGTGACCTGCCCGCCTCGGCCTCCCAAAGTTCTGGGATTACAGGCCTGAGCCACTGCACCCGGCCAAAAGCTTTTTTTTAAAAAAAACACCTGGGGATATTTAAAAGAGATAGATTGCAGTGATCTATAAATTTATTTTTGTAGAACACTGTAAGCTGGAAAATAAATTGAGAAGAATAAAATAAGCTTTTGAGCCATGGTAAATGCAAGACACTTTACACATTATCATAGTCTGTCTGTGTTGTGATAATAAAATAGCTGAGATTGGGTAATTTATAAAGAACAGTGATTTGTTTCTTACAGTTTTGAAGGCTGGGATCTGCAAGGTTAAGGGACCTATATCTAGTGAGGGCCTTCTTGATGCATCATAACATGCCAAAAGGCAGAACAACAAGAGAGCACACATACAAGAGAGAGAGGAAGTGGGGGTCAAACTCATCCTTTTATCCGGAATTTACCTCTGGAACAAGTGACCCACTTCTGTGATAATGGCATTAATCCATTTATCAGGGCAGAGCCCTCCTGATCTAATCACCCTTTAAAGGTCCCATCTCTTAACAAGGTTGCACTGAGATTTAGTTTCCGACACATGAACTTTGGGAACACATTCAAACCATAACATTCTGCTCCTGGCTCCCTTAAATTCATGTCCTTCTTACATGCAAAATACATTCATTCCATCCCAAGTTAACTTGTTTCAACACTAACTCAAAGGTCCAGAATTTCATCTGAATCAGAAATGTGTGTGAAACTCAAGGCATGATTCATCCTGAGGCAAATTCCCCAGCAGCTATGAACCTATGAAATTAAGTAAGTTATCTACTTCCAGAGTGTTGGGACAGGCATAGGATAAACATTCCCATTACAAAAGGGAGAAATAGGCAATAAGAAAGGAGTAACAGGCTCAAGGAAATCACTTCAAACCTGACAGGGAAAACAACAGTAAGTCTTAAAGCTGAAGAATAATCTTCTTTCACTCCATATCCCACATCAGGAGCACAGTAGGGTAGGAGTTAGGCTCTCAAGGCCTCAGGCAGCCTCAGGGCTTAGTCCACCCAGCAGCTCTCACGGTTTGTAGTCTCATGCCTATGACTTTCTCAGACTGTAGTTACATGCTGATGCCCCCATAGTTTTATGGTCTCAAAGTGGGGAGCTGGGGGGTGATTGCCCCACTCCCATGGCTTTACTAGGCATTGACCTAGTGGGGACTCTGTGAATGCTGGCCTTACCCCTATGGCTCCACTAGGCATAGTGGGGGCTTTCTGTGGTAGGCTCTCCTTGGTGGGTCTGCACCTGTGATAAGTCTCTGCCTGGGCCCCAGGCTGTCCTCAACATCCTTTGAAACTTAGGCAGAAGCCACGATGGCTTCATACCTTTTGCATTCTGTGTGCCTACAGAATTAGCACAATGTGGACACTGCCAAGATTTACTGCTTATACCTTCTGGAGCAGTGGGTTGAACTGCAGCTGGGCCCACGTGAGCTGCAGCTTTGGTGGCTGAGAGGCATTATGCCAGAATTGAGGGAGCAGAGGTCCAAGGCGCTGCAGGGCAGCAAATGCTGAGGTCACACAAGCACCTCTCTGGAAACCTTGCCCTTAAGGTCAGATCCCCTAGCTTGCTTAGATCTCTGAAATGTTTTTGGGGTCATTCTCTCATTGTTTTCATAAATAGAACCTGGTTTCTTTCTATACTAGTTTTTTTTAGCAATCACTTGACAACCCCTTTACTATTCTTTGCCAAACATATATTTTATGTGGCCAGGCTGAGAGTTTTCCTGATTTTTTTTATTCTGCTTCTTTTTACATTATAAATGTCATCTTTAAAGTATTTCTCTCTTCTTTCATTTTACTATAAATGGCTGAAAGAAGCTTTGTAACATCTTGAATGCTTTGCTGCTTAGATAGTTCTTCTACCAGATATCCTAGTTCATTCCTCTTGAGTTCTGCCTTCCACAGTATCCTAGGCCATGAATGCAGTCCTCCCAAGTTCTTTGCAACTGTGTAACAAGGATGGCCATTACTCCAGTTTCCAAGATTTTGTTTCTCAGTTCCACCTGAGTCCTCATCAGAATGGCCTTTACTGTCCATATTTCTACAGTACTGTCCATATTTCTACAGTACATGATCAGAAGATCATGACCACTTAAGTAATCATTAACAACATTCCAGACTTTCCCTACATTGCTTTCCTTTTTCTGAGCCTTCACTAGAATTGTCCTTAATGTTCTGTTCATGGCAATCTGGGCTTTTTCTAACCTGCTCCTCCAAATTCTTCCAACTTCTACCCATTCTCATTGTTCAATTCCTAAGCTGCTTACACATTTTCAGATATTTGTTATAGCAGCAACCCCAGTCTTGGTACCAATTTTCTATCTTTGTTTTGTGCTGCTATAACAGAATATCTGAGACTGAATAATTTATGCACAACAGAGACTTATTTCTTACAGTTCTAGAGGTTGGAAGATAAAAGTTGAGTGACTCACATCTGGTAAGGGCCTTCCTGCTGTGTCTTTAACATGGTAGAAGGGCAAGATAGCATGCATGCATATGAGACAAAAAGGGAGCTGAATTCATCCTTCTGTCAAGAACCCACTCCCATGATGATAGCATTAATTCACTCACAGAGGCAGAGCCCTCATGACCGAACCTTCTCTTAAAAGTACCACCTCTCAAGACAGTTGCACTGGAGATCAAGTTTCCAACACATGAATTTTGGGGGGCATTTTCAAACCGTAGCACATATATAATCTCACTTAATTCTCACAACACACTTGGGAAGTCAGTGTTATCAGCATTTAAAAGATGAGAACAGCACCGGGTGTGGTGGCTCACACCTGTAATCCCAGCACTTTGGGAGGCCAAGATGGGCGAATCATGAAGTCAGGAGTTCAAAACCAGTCTGGCTAACATGGTGAAACCCTGTCTCTGCTAAAAATACAAAAATTATCTGGTTGTGGTAGCGTGTGCCTGTAATCCCAGCTACTCAGGAGACGGAGGCAGGAGAATCACTTGAACCCAAGAGGTGGAGGTTGCAGTGAGCTGAGATCGCGCAACTGAACTCCAGCCTGGGCTACAGAGAGAGACCCTGTCTCAAAAACAAGAAATAAATAAAAATTTTAAAAAGATGAGAACAGCTAGAGTTTAGAGAAGTTAGGTAACTCTTGGGAAGGTTATGTGGTTAGTGGTTGAATTATATTTCATGTGTCATGATAGTGAATAGACAATATCCAAAACCAGAGAAGTAGAGTTTCAAGAAGGAAGGTAAGTCTTAGTTTATTTAGTGTTGCTATAGTGGAATACCTGAGGCTGGGTAATTTATAAAGAAACGAGTTTATTTGGGTCACAATTCCAGTGACTGGAAAGTCCAAGAGCATGGCATTGGCATCTACTCAGCTTCTGGTCAGGGCTTTCGTGATGCATCATAACATGGAGGACGGTCAAAGAGGAAACAGACATATACAGTAAGAAAAATGAGGGACAATCTTACTTTATAACAATGTGTTCTTGTGTGGAAACTAGTCCCCTTCTGTGTGAACTAATCCAGTTTTATTAAGGGGTTAACTCACTCATGGTAGGAATGACACCAAGCTTCTCGTGGGAGTGGAGCCTCTGCGACCCAGATGTTTTCCACTAGACCCCACCTATTAAATATTTTACTTTCCAATGTTGCCACACAAAGAATTAAGGTTCCAACGTGAGTGCTGGTGGGGAAAGGCAAACCCATAGCAGAAGGGATGGTCAGCAGCATCAAATTTTGAGGTGAGATTGAGTAATCAAAATTAACAAAACATTAGAATCTAGTTATACTCACTTTATATGTAAGATAGTTAAAGAAGACATAACAGGTAATATTTGTAGGTAGAACTGTTCTATTTTATTCTTTGAGGATAATATTTTACAGTCAATATTTGCAGCTGTTCTATAAAGTTTAAATACTCATTTGTTTGTTTGTTTCAGTTATATCAAGATTTCTTGATACAGAGCAGCTTCTTTCTGTTTTAGTCCAAATTCCAAAGCAAGACACGGTATGTTTTTGTATACATTATATATATTATTTTACATTATATGATGGAACTTGTCTTAATGTAATATAACAATTGGAAAATATCAAAATATTTTGAGATAGTCCTTCATTATTGATATCTGGAGTATTTTATGCCATTGTAGAGGAAAACTTTTTTCCTAATGTATTATCCTATATGTTATAGTAAAATTTAAATCATTTCAGCCTGGCATGATGGCTTATGCCTATAATCCCAACATTCTGGAGGCTAATGCAGGAGTATCACTTGAGACCAGCAGTTCAAGACAAGCCTGGACAACAAGTGAGGCCCCGTCTCTATTTAAAAAAAATTAAAAATTAGCTGGGCATGGTGTTGCACACTTGTAGTCCCGGCTACTGGGGAGGCTGAGGTGGGAGGATAACATGAGCCTTGGAAGGTCAGTGCTGCAGTGAGCTGTGTTTGCACCACTTCGCTCCAACCTGGGTGATAGAGTGAGGCCTTGTCTCAAAAAAAAAATTTTTTTTTTAAATAGTTAAGGAGTTGGTCTATTTTCATTGATCAAATATTAAGGAGTTATATATAATTTTCAAAAGATGTAGACTATAATAATGTTTGCCCAATAACTAACTAAAATATGTTAGAGCTAAAGAGTATAGATTCTTCTTAAAAGTGACCATTATGTGAAGTTTGATTAGTCTTCAAATATTATTATTATTACTGAGATGGAGTTTTGGTTTGTCATCGAGGCTGGAGTGCAGTGGTGTGATTTTGGCTCACTGCAATACCTGCCTCCCAGGTTGAAGAGATTCTCTTGCCTCAGCCTCCCAAGTAGCTGGGATTACAGGTATGCACCACTTTGCCTGGCTAATTTTTGTATTTTTAGTAGAGATAGGGTTTCACCATGTTGGCCATGCTGGTCTCAAACTCCTAACCTCAAGTGATCCACCTACTTCAGCCTCCCAAAGTACTGGGATTACAGGTGTGAGCCACCACACTTGGCCAAGTCTTCAAATATTCTTGATTTTTAAGAATGAAATAACATCTTTTCTGAATACTTTTCAAATTTAAATAGTGCTTATGGGTACATTCTATAAAGAAAGTAATAGCTTTCTTTATTCTGTTTAAGATGAACTGAAGAATATTTACTATAATGAAATACAGGTATATTTTTGTCCATATGCTTAAAAAGAAAAGAAGTCTTGCACATCAATAAGGTTTAATTTACAATTTGATGACATTTGTAAGTCCATTGAAAGCTTATCTATATTTGAGAAACCTTTTCGTATCATAAAGAAAATACTCTTTGGGTTCATTTATAACAAAAGCATCACTAGATTGGAAAGCTTTGGCTGTTGGGCAGGCACAGAACTAGGTTTCCTTAAATAATTGAAGCTAATTATAAGTCAGTATATACCAATGGGAAGTAACCTAAAGCAACTGATGTTTGGAATTAAATTAGCAGCCCTCATAAAATACGTTTGGAAGTATCCCTTTCTCTTTAATTTTCTGGTAGAGTTTACATAGACTGGTATTATTATTTCTTCCTTACATATTCAGTAGAATTCACAAATGAAGCCATTAGAGCCTGGAATCTTTTTTGGTAGGAAGGTTTTTGACTATGAATTCAACTTATTAAGTAGGTATAGTGCTCTTCAGGTGAACTGTTTCTTCTTGAAAAAGCTTTGGTAGCTTGTGTCTTTTAAAGAATTTTTCGTTTCACCCAACTTTTTAGTTTATCAGCATAAATTGTCTCATAATATCCTTCTTGTATCTGTAAAATTGGCAGTGATATGCTCTCTCATTCCTGATATTAATAACTTTAATATTTATATTAATATTTTATTAATTAATTAATAATTAATGACTTAATGATTAAGAAAAACAGAGTTTTTTTAACCTGGCTAGAGGTTATCGTTTTTATTGATATTCTTAAGGAAACAGCTTTCTATTTCATTATTTTATCTTTTTTTCTCCTGTTCTCTATTTCACTGATTTCTGGTTTTATCACTCTTTCTTCTGCTTACTCTGTGCCTACTGTTCTTTTTTGAGATTGTAAAGGAGGAAGCTGAGGTCATTGATTTGAGACCTTTTTTCCCTTTCTAATATAAGCATTTCAGCACTGTAAATTTCTCTCTGAGTAATACTTTAGCTGTATTCCACAATTTTAGATACATTGTGATTTCTTTTTCATTCGAAAAGGTCAAAATACTTTCTAATTTTTTTTTAAAAATTCTTTGATGTTTGGGTTTTTAGAGATATGTTATTTTATTTCCAATATTTGGGGACCTTCCAGATTATCTTTTTGTTATTGGTTTCTAACTTAATTCCCCAATGGTCAGAGAACATGTATTATGTAATTTAGATCTTTTTAACTTTATTGACTTTGTTTTTATGGCCCCAAATAGAGTTAATCTTGGTAAATGTTCCATGTGAACTTGAAAGCAATGTGTATTTTGCTGTTGTTGGTTGGAGCATTCCATAAATGTCAATTTGTTCAAGTTGTGTGGTAGTGTTCTTCAAATCTCATCTATCCTTATTGTGTTTTACTGTTTTTGTTGTTGTTGTTCTATTTGTTCTACCAGTCATTGAGAGAGTAGTGTCAAAATCTCCAAATGTAATTGTGTATTTGTCTCTTTTTCCTTGCAGTTTTATCAGTTTTTATCTAATGTATTTGGAATCTCTGTTATTAGGTACATAAATATTTAAGATTGCTATGTCCTCTATAAACTGAGCCTGTTATCGTTATGAAAATGACCCTTTTTATTTCTAGTAATATTTTTTGCTATGCAATCTACTGGGTGTAGTATTAATATAGCTGCTCTAGCTTTCTTTTGGTTAGTTTTAGCGTGGCATATTTTTACCATCCTTTTGTTTTTAACTTTTTTTTTCTTTATACTTACAGAAGATTTTTTGTAGGTGATATATATTAGGTGTTAACTTTTTGTATACAATCAGAGAATACCTTACTTTTAATTATGGTATTTATTGCATTTACACTTAATAAGATTATTGATATGTTTTCATTTACATTGCTATCTTGGTTTTTTTTTTTCATTTTTCTCATCTATTTGCTTTCTTTTTTTCTGCTTTCTTTTGTATATTTTTTATGATTCCTACTCATTTCCTTTGTTGGCTTACTAGATAGAAGTTATTGCCTTTATTCACTTAATTATTGACTTAGGGTTTACAGAATACATCTTTAGCTGAATTCAGTTACTTTTATTTATTTTTTATTTTATCATTTTTTTGAGAGAGTCTTGCTCTGTTTTTGTGCAGGCTGGAGTGCAGTGATGCCGTCTCAGCTCACTTTTACTTCTGTCTCCTGGCTTCAAGTGATACTTGTACCTCAACCTCCTGAGTAGCTTGGACAACAGACATGCCACCATGCCCTGCTAACTTCTGTATTTTTAGTGGAGTCAGGGTTTTGCCACATTGGCCAGGCTGATCTCGAACTCCTGACCTCAAGTGATCCACCTGCCTTGGCCTCCCAAAGTGTTGGGATTATAGGTGTGAACCATTGTTTGATCAGAAGATTGCAACCCCTGCCTTTTTTTTTTTTTTTTTTTTGCTCTCCATTTGCTTGGTAAAACTTCCTCCATTCCTTTATTTTGAGTCTGTGTGTGTCTTTGCGTGTAAGATGGGTTTCCTGAATACAGCACACCAATGGGTCTTGATTTCATCTAATTTGCCAGTCTGTGTAATTGATTGGGGCATTTAGCCCATTTACATTTAAGGTTAATATTGTTATGTGTGAATTTGATCCTGCCATTTTGGTAGTAGCTGGTTGTTTTGCCCGTTAGTTGATGCAGTGCCTTCATAGTGTCAATGGTCTTTATAATTTGATATGTTTTTGCAGTGGCTGGTACTGGTTTTCCCTTTCCATGTTTAGTGCTTCCTTCAGAAGCTCTTGTAAGGCAGGCCTGGTAGTGACAAAAATCTCTCAGCAGTTGCTTGTCTATAAAGGATTTTATTTCTCCTTCACTTATGAAGCTTAGTTTGGCTGGATATGAAATTCTGGGTTGAAAATTCTTTTCTTTAAGAAGGTTGAATATTGGCCCCTACTCTCTTCTGGCTTGTAAGGTTTCTGCTGAGAGATCCACTGTGAGTCTGATGGGCTTCCTTTTGTGAGTAACCCAATCTCTCTGGCTGCCCTCAGCATTTTTTCTTTCATTTCAACCCTGGTGAATCTGATGATTATGTGTCTTGGAGTTGCTCTCCTTGAGGAGTATCTTTATGGTGTTCTCTGTATTTCTGGAATTTGAATGTTGTTCTGCCTTGGTAGGTTGAGGAAGTTCTCCTAGATAATATCCCAAAGAGTGTTTTCCATCTTGGTTTCATTCTCCCCGTCACTTTCAGGTACACTGATATCAAATGTAAATTTGGTCTTTCCCATAATCCCATATTTCTTTGAGGCATTGTTCATTTATTTTCACTCTTTTTTCTCTAATCTGGTCTTCTCACTTTATTTCATTGAGTTGATCTTCAATCTCTGATATCCTTTCTTCTGCTTGATCAATTCGGCTATTGAAACTTATGTATGCTTCATGAAGTTATTGTGCTATGTTTTTCAGCTCCATCAGGTCATTTACGTTCTCCTCTATACTGGTTATTCTAAGTTAACATTTCATCTAACCTTTTTTCAAGGTTCCTAGCTTTTGTGCATTGGGTTAGAACATGCTCCTTTAGCTCAGAGAGGTTTGTTATTACCTACCTTCTGAAGCCTACTTCTGTCAATTTGTCAAATTCATTCTTCATCCGGTTTTGTTCCCTTGCTGGTGAGGAGTTGTGATTCTTTGGAGGAGAAGAGGCATTCTCACTTTTGGAATTTTTGGCCCTTTTGCATTGGTTTCCTCCCATCTTCATGGATTTATCTATGTTTGGTCTTTGAAGTTGGCAACCTTTGGATGGGGTCTCTGAGTGGATGTCCTTTCTGTTGATGTTGAAACTATTTCTTTCTGTTTGTTAGTTTTCCTTCTAACAGTCAGGCCCCTCTGCTGCAGGTCTGCTGAAGTTTGCTGGAG